TATTGCATGTGATATAAGGCACTTGAAATAAACCTAGTAAACACATTGAAGCTCATTGTGCCTGACCAATGACCTTTAGAAGGATTCGAGATATCGTGTCCATGGTTTAAATGGGATGTCTCAAAGTGCTACATCTAAAGAATAATTATCATATCACAGTTCAGAACCATCATTTAGCTATGTATGAAAAAATAAAAAAGATTTCATGGCCCAGGCAGAGTTATCCAAGAGGCCGATAGAAGAAACAGGGAGTTTACTTGTTTATGATGGATACCATCAAGTGCAGCAAAATCATGACATAAGCATACTACAGCCATACCAACCAAGGGATTAAAAGCAAGACCTGGAAACAACTAAACACCAAGACAGACATCACAAAGTGTAAAGACAATGGATGAAGCTTTTCCTCGGGAGCTATATTTCAACCAACCCATATTTAGCATTTATTATATATGGTCTAACAAAATATAAATAAAGCACAGAACACAATCTTTTGCTCCATCTCAATGATCTCAATAATTACATAACATTTTCGTTGAATACACTGATCATTAGAGGTACCCATATGATCCAATCCAAAATTTATGCCAATGTTTCTTGCTTTATCTATGATAAGCAACATGAGAGATTAACATTTAACCAACAATTCCTGAGCAAATACTCACCAATTACAAAAGGCTGTTTCTGCATTTCTTCGGTTGCAGAGGTGGTTGCTTGTCCTATTTCTGTATTTCTTGAGTCTAAACCATCCATATGGAATCCAGAAAAATGGACTCCTGAGGAGGCCTCTATCATATCAACAACTGATTGGGAATCCATCCCCTGGGATGCGAGAAATTTAAATGCCATGTAAGGACATAGAACAATAATGCAGCCAAATCAAGTAGGCATATCTTGATTGAATTGACTTGAATTTAGTGGCTTTTTTAAAGCAAAATTTTTAGGAAAAGAAAACAGAAAAGACAACAGATTCCATAGGCAAATCGGAAGTTTTCTTCCGATAGTAGCTGCTCCTTTTGCATTCTCAATTACAGCCAAAAGGAAAAAAGCAAAAACAAAAACCGAAAGAGAAGTTATCTACGGTTCATTGTTTCAGTAAACAAGCCCAATCAATCAACAATATGAAAAGTGCCGTGATGCTTATTTCTTCCAGCTCCACATACCAACTGAAATTTCATTTTCCAACAACTTTGAAGAACGCACACAAAAAGCAAAATCAACTCCACAACATTCTAGGCCGCAGAAAGCAACAACCTGACACCTATCCTGGCACTTGTTTTATCATTATATATAGACCAAACCCAAAGTACCAATATTCATGGCTTACTATTACTGTTATTATAATATGTATCTGCACACAGGTAAGTGAATGCTGTCTACATCCACAGACGGATTTTAAGCATAAAATTCACGCAAAAACTCGATAATGTGAATTCAAAGCTTAGAAATCGCCTCAGGAAGCATCATCTTCTTGCTATGATTACTCAATTAACAATAATAACCACAGATCAGTAACTGATGACAATCAAATCGTTATTAAAAAACGAGGTGAACTCGGTACTCAAAAACAAAGAAATGAATACATACGTTCTCTCTCATTCAATGAATTAACCTCCAGAAATTGAAAACAGATCATTTTAACGGAAAACAAAGAGAGAATGCATCACGCCATAAATGCAAACAAGAAAAAAAAAAAAAGGAAAAAGAGCTGAATAGAAATACAGATTTGCATTGAAATACCTGGATTTAACACGAATTAAAACGGAGGATTGGCGAACAGGCAATGATATGTTTATAGGGGAGAGAAACTGGTATTTATAAATTTAAGAGAGAGAAAAGAGTGAGGGGTTATATAATTAAGCTGAGATCACGGACGCCAGTTGATTTTGAGGTATTTATAGGGGAGCATGGAGGTGGTGAGGAGAGGGAGACCCTTTTCAGCAAAAACATGTATTAGCAAAAAAGGGCTCGTTATTCAATGTATTTACAATTGGACACCCGGTGAGAAAGAGAGTGAAAAGAAAAGCCAGCTGTTTTGGATTCTGTGCGCTGCGGTTTTTAGAAATGAAAATCAAGGCATTAAAACGCACCGGATTAGATTTTAGATCGAGGATCCGCGTAAGCTCCGAATCAGATGTCGGGGCCCACTTGCTTTTTCAACAGTGCTCTCATTGACTTGGGATTTATTTACTTTCTTACCATCTAAGATTTTATAAATTCACAAAAATTTTATTTTTCAAAATTTAATTTAAATTTGAATGCAAGAAAAATCAAATATGTTTTTTTATTCGGGGATACGATATAATGATTATGTATAATCTAAATAGATTTTATGCAAATTAAACTTTTTTAGCCGATAATGCAAATGATTATACGCTTTTATTATGAGATTTTGTATTAAATATTATTATAAGGTGACTTAGTCCAAAATTGAACTCTTTTTGTTCTACTTTAAATAACTTTTATAAAATAACATTATACTATTGCAAATAGATGTTGCTCAAATGTCGTATCAATTCTATAATGGTATTTATAGTTTTAGTTGCTCTTCGTCATCATATCAAAGAAACACTAAAACATTGCATTTAGTATATTATTTTTATATTATAATTCAATTCTCAAACTTTTGATATATATATTTAGTCCTACTTACATATTTGAAATATTATTGAATAAATTTTTCGCATATCTATAATTATACAAATATAAAATTGTATTGCTATATACGAATAGAGATGTTATGAAAACATGATTTATACCGGGTGTGATATTGATTTTGATTTAAAATGTTACTTTTCATTCAAATTTTTAGCTCATTTGTATTTTATTTTCTAATCATATTTCATTAAATTAAATTTTAAAGCAAATCAACTTAAACTAATCATTAATGCGTTAAGCTGATAAGAAGTGTGTCATTAACGAGATAATTATATTAAATTTGGTACTTTAGTATTATCCTCAATTAGAAAAACATACTAAATAAGTTGGATGTATCAAGGATTATCGGACAGTAAAATTACGTGTAGCATCATAATCATATTACTCTTTTCTTAATTCACTATAATAATCAATCATAATAATGATAGTAGTGCCAATAGTAATAGCATAGATGATAACTATGACAATAATATCATTAGTAATAATAGTGATGGTGAAAGTGCAAGTAGCATCGTCAATAGTGGTGGCAATGGTAACATTGATGGTGATTGTGGAAGTGAGATAATAGTGGTGGGTGAGGATAATAGAGGTAACAAAATAGTGGTTATAATAGTTGATTTCGTAATTATTATGGTAAAGGTGATGAAATACAAATAAAAGCAGTAGAAGAGACAATAGTGATGAAAGTAATAGTTATTGTTGGCAATAGCGGCATATGAGGTGGTTGTAATAGTTGTCATAATACTCAGTGACAATGACAATAGTCGTGGTAATAGCAGTGATGGTAGTGTTTGTAATGATAAAATTATAGTGATGGCGAAATTGTTAATAATGCAATGTCAATAAGGGTTATGATCTTAGGGCGACAGATGGTGGTGATGTAAATAATGATTAGGAAATGAATGGTTTTTGTGTAACACGTCGAGCCTGGGATTTAGGCTCGGGATGACTAAATTTATATTAATAATAATTTTAAAAATTTTTAATTTTAATTTTTTAAAGTCATGGTCAAACTGAAAATAAGGAAGTATCTGTTTGAAATGAAAATTTGAAAATTGTGGCAAAAGTGAAAAAATGAAAAAAGTAGTCATATAGGACGGCCACGTCAGCAACACGGCCTGCCAAAACGCGCCGCGTGGCGAACATGCTGACACCGGCTCTACGCAGGCGATCTGTGTACTTGGGCGATCCGACGGCGCAGATTGCATCCTGCGCACATGAATGACCCATATTCATTTCCTCTTCAGATGCGATCAAACGATCAGAGTCAATCTGATCGTGCGGTCCAGATTTATTTCATGAATAAGAGAGATCCAACGAACGGGAGAATGCTACGTGTCCCTGCACGACAACGCAAATCGACTCAGAGATGGTATTTAAACTTTACGTTTCAAGAAACTCTAACCCTAATCATACCAGTCCTTGCCGGAGAAGAAGAATAAGGGTGGCCGGAAAGAAACCAATCACCGTCGTCGCCACACTAGAGCCATTGCTGACGCTGAAAAGGTTAGCCGAAGAATAACCCTGGCTGCGAAGGAGGAACGGCGAAGCCACCGCACCCAGAGATCCTTCTGTCGGTAGGTTTTTGGTTTTCGCCTTTTCCAGCCAACAAATGCCCCCTAACTTCGTTCTTCGCAGGTTTTCATGCAAAATCGGTCAAAACCGACCGAAAATGACCATATCGAGAGGAGACGCCGTCTGGAACCCTAAATTGGCCGAAAAACTTTAAAAACACATATTTTGACATTTTAGGGTATTTTTGGATACGTGACGGATATTTTTAATTTCTGCAGGAAAAATTCAGAAAATTCGTTGACCGTCAGAAGTTACAATGAAAAATACGGTATTTCAGACACCAATTCGGAGTAAAAATCTCTCGCCATTTTTTCTGTTATGGTAAATTGAAGCTTAATAATTGATAACATTATATTTTGTAAAAATTAGAAAAAAAAACTATAAAATTAATTACAGGTCATCAGTGAAACTGGAACCGGTTAGTGTATAATTGTCTTATCATATTTGTGTTGCCTATTTACTCTCTTATACTGACTAAATTGCTTATTGTTATACCGTGTGCTTTAAATTATAAATTTTAATTACTTTTTTGTTTATTGATTATCTAACCGTTATTTTTATCTGTTGACTGATTTGAAATAAATATTCTAATTATATTTTTTGATGGTTAAAGTATAAATTAATATTGTCTGCTTAAATATCGTTATACTAATATGTGAATATAAAATGAGATGTTTGCAATTAGTGATTGGTTGATTATGTGAATTTATGTATGAACAGCTTACTAGGTACCCTAAAAAAGAGTACACGGACCCGATACATAGGAAAATCCTATCGTAAACATTGTCTCAATCGAACGGGGTTGAGAAGTCCCATACCGAAAGGGTTTGAGAGGTATAATTCACCCTCATACCGAATGGAATATTGAGGCGATGACATATTTGACGCTCATTACTGGACGGAGTATAGAGACGACCGATTAATTAATAAATTAGATATTAGATTCACATATAGAGAGATATCCCTATGGTCCCCCAAGGGCACTAGTAAACAGGTAAGAAAGTAAGTTTATTGTTATTATTTATTTAAATGTAAAATCAAAATACGATTTGGGTTATTGCTTTCGTTGGTCGATTTTGAAAACATATGAAGGTAAGTATGAAACTTACGTTTTTATATATAAAACAAATTTATTTAAGAAAGACAAATGACTTCATTGGTTGTTTTATGATTTTTATCAATATTTAGTTTTCTGTATCGGTGTTAAGTATGATATTCTTACAAGATTAGTGTAGTTCATTCCGCTATTTAACCATTTCAGATTAAGAAGACCAAAATGCGTATCCTAAACAGTAAGAGGGTTGTGAATAAAGATTACCTTCTAAACTCCATCAGAGTTGCCCAACGGAGACTAACTCCATTATTTTGTTTTATTATAACTATTTGTTCCACTACTACGAACTTTTATAGAAAGACATTTACGTAGCCCTATTGGACATCCTGATTTACTGTGTAAGAAATATAAACTTTAAATTCTAAATTACTTCCGCTTATAGTTGATATAATCAAATATTTAAATTTTCTTGAGTATTGGGCTTTTACAACTATACTCTAAAAATATCATGTCTTCCCCCTTCATATGCAAAATGCTATATAAAAAATCAAAGACAAATAGGGTTCTGAAATCAAAAGGAATAAAACCTACTTACCAACCTCACTGCAAGAATCTACTCCTTGCAAAATTCAGAGTTGGATCTAGCCTTGGATTTCTTAATTAGAAAGAACTTTAGAAAATGAACATTCAAGAGCTTTATAAGGTTCTATAGTGGAGACTTTTATATACAAGTGTCTTAGGTATATCTCAAAAATCCAAGTTTTAGTTGTTAGAAGTGTGTTGATTTCTTCAATGATAACATCTTTCTAAACATTAAATTTAAAGACTTTTAAAGAACAACTTGGCTCACTTATTGAATTTTCAAACAATTTTTTTTTTCTTATAAAAATTGACATGCAATAAGTAAGATTCGTTGTAACACCCAACATTTGCTTTTTATTTTTATTTTTATTTTTTAAATATAGTTATTTATTTATTTTAATTATTTTATTTTAATTTAATGAAAAATGAGATAAAAATTTGTTAATGATTAAATTAAAAATAATTTTAAAAAAAAGAGATGAAAATTTGGGTTATGGGGATATTTTTTAAAAAAATCGAAAATAAGGGGTCAAAACACAATTTAGAAAAAATTACACTACGTCAGAAGCCCGGTTAGTAACCTCGACAAACCAGAACACGTCAAGTCGCAGAGGCGATGATGTGGGAGGCCACGTGGGCAATCCGCGTGCGCGCAGTCGAATGGCTGAGGTCCATTCCCGCGCGCACGGACGACCCAGATTGAAATCGCGCACGGAATTCCTAGATTGAATCGCGCACAGAATTCTCAGATTGAATCGCGCATGGACTACCCAGATTGAATCGCGCATGGACTACCCACAATCGGACGGTTCATATCAAAAGCGATGGACGGCCCAGATCAAAAGTGGATGGGTATAAATAATCCAATCCGCACCCAAACCCTAACTCTAGCTGCCAGAACCCCTCCCCGGAGAAGATAACCCAA